CATTTATCAGAATCCCAGAAATAATTTTTACGTTTATTCTTACGAAGAGGTTTCTTCTGTTCAGTTTTCATTGAACGAATTAAGGTCCATGCTAATCGCGCGACCAGTGCGTGGTGTCTACAAATATTTTCATCATTTAGGGAATTGCATCCAAACTTTTCGGGCTAAAACCGTTGGAAACTAAGTTTTTATCATAAAATCTACTGAAAGTGTGGGAAAATCTCATACTTATTGGTCTCTGTCTTCCTGTTATTCCCTCTCGTTTTCTTGCAACATAATCACCCTTGGCATTCAATTAAAAATTAGATGTTGATAAAATTTGGCTTAGAATCAATGAAGATAACAGGAAAGACAAATTATGCGCCTTATTTTTGGTTCTATAGCTCAAATTCGCGTCGTATACGAAAGGCCCGCAAAAATTTGTTTATGTCCGCTAAATTTCTAAACATCCGACTTGGTGCGGGTGCATTCGTTACCCTCCTGTGATCGTGTTCTGTTTTGGAGTTTAGTGATCGGTCAATAATTGCTTCATTTACTCTGAAAATGTCGTCGCATAGTCAACGAGGCAAAGTGAAGACTATTCCTCGGTATGCATTCATGAGATCGCTTCATTTGTTTTGTTCAGTAACCGAAGTCAGCGTATGCCCGTTGCTCCAGCCAGTTTCACGAAAGGTGTTTCCGGACAGGTGGGTTCACATTCATCGCATTTATGGTGTTTTTAGACCGAAGATAACTTAGGTATTTTTTCAAATTCGGAGTTGACGTATGCTTTGGGACGTCATGTTGTTGTACGTTAAGCGATTTTACGTAACTTAATGATTATCCCTTAGGGAAACATAGGTGAAGTGATGACCGTTGATAACGAGCGAATACTCGGTGTTATCAAGGCTGTATCTCCGGATGTTAGTGTTGTGTTTTGCGTCACTGTTATTTTCAGGGTGCTATGTGTTTAACTTACGCGTACAGCACTCAGCGTAGCAAAAATGGTCAAATTGGTGGTGATTTTCGACACATCCCACTTTCTGATTGGAAAATGGTTCGGGTTACTGGGATTAAACCTACGGATTGCATAATGAGTATGTTCAAGTCATGTTTAACTAAAATCTAGATGAGGTAAAAACGGATGCTGAGTTAGCGGCAGAATGTGATTTGACACGTGCCGCTTCGCCTGATAAGGAACTTGTTCCGTTTTTCGAACCGTCGGAGACAGTCAAGGATTGCTCTTTGGACGAAGGTGGATTCCCTGCTGACGAAATGTTCAAAACCAATAAAGAGTTGTTTTCTGTTTCTTCGACGTACAATGCTGATCTCAGGGAGTACACGTAAGTTAACGATCATGTTTCTATATCTCAATAATAGTACTCCTGTAGATCGGAATGCACCTAACTTTTCCGAAACGGAGGCACGGTGTGCTAAGCTGGCTGAAGATATCGAGCGGAATCAATCTCCGGGAGCTCAGCTAGAAGGCGTTTCTGATGATGAAGAGCAGGCATTCAGTGCTGTTACGCGTGAAGTTAAAGAGCAGGCGTCTACCATACAACATAACCGGCGCCCTCGTCCAGGCCGACAACGCCCCATCGCTCGATCCAGCGCAGTTAACAGCGTCACCAACGATTTAAACCGTGTAACTGTAAGCGGACAGAAACCGGTTGAAGCTCGAAAAGATGACCAGGATGTTTCAAGTGTCACAACCGACGTGGAACCAGTCGTACACGATACAGCACCTACTTCCACTAAGACGACAGAGGTTAAAGTGAATGAAGTGGAGGTACCAGAACCAGTGGTCGCTAAGCCTTCAACAACTGCAGAATCTCCCACCACTCCTGCGCCAACTACAACTGTTACATCTACGTCTGAAACCAAAGTTAAGAAGTCCACTTTAGATCCGAATGCTCCGCTTTTCCACCCGATGGGAATACAATACGCGATTCCACAACATTTACAACAACCACTACCTCAAACACAGCCGGTGCCTTACTCTGCCCCATCAGCGGTGGTTAGTGTATCACATCCTGTCACTTTTGCCGTGCAGACCCTACCGGCGCTCATCAGTGCTCAACAAGCCCAAAGGTTCGCGGTTACTATGCCTTATGTGTCTCATTCGAACCAACTTCCACATTTGGTTCCAACTATGATGTCCGGACCAGTGCCAGGGAATATGCATCAGCAAATGCGTGCTGGGTCGCTACCACCCGGTTTACACCAACAGGGATTTCAAGCTGCCCTCAATTCCGGAGCTAATATTTTTCTGCAACACCCACAACAGCCTGGTATGTCTGTAGGGCAAATGACATCGCAGCCCATGTTTGTCACTGGTCCAGCCCATGGGAATCCATTTACTACTCCGACGTCGAATATAGGCTTAGCACGGCAAAGGTCTAATGAGTCGTCATCAACGACGCATTCCAATTATGGACAAGCTCAACCAAGCGTATCAATATCTAGCTTTCAGTCGCCATTGGCTTATCACATGCCACAGCCTGCAAATGGAATACCTCTTCTGTTATCCGCTCCCCCTGTGGGATCTCACTTACTCTCGACGGGAATGCCAAATGCTGGCAATTCTTCCGCCTTGATGGCAATTCCTCAGACTTCTGGGCAGCCGATTTATCAGGGACAGCAGGTTATTACTGTCCCGCCTAACTCTATGCCAGTCCCCGGTGCTCCCAA